AGTGCTTCTGAAATTTTAACGTGCCCATGAATCATCTTAAAAGGTGGGGTCTGACCCGAGAGGTCTGCTGTAGGGTCAGAGAGTCTTCATTTCTGACAAGCTGACAGGTCAGGCTGCTGCTGGTCCTCGGCCCGCTCTGGATAGGATTTTCCAGTTAAAATCTTTTGGCTTTCGACCAAGCACACAGAAGCTCCCGCAGCGTGTCACATGCTCGTTTCTTACACTGCAAGTACAATTAACTGTCGCCTTGATTTTTCACTTTACAAAAAGAGGCAGCGGCTCGGACTGCTGTGCACAGTGTGAACGCAGCATGTTGGTGCCGAGACGTCCCATGCCCAGGACGCAGAAGTCGTCACATTCTCCTTCGTCACTGGAAGGAGCTGAGGCTGCTTTCAGCAAAACAGCACTGGCTAGCTTGTTACTCCGGCTGTTTCTTGTAAGTCACTCAGTCCCTTCTGCACTGAGGCCTGCAGCCCCCGACAGGAAGGAAGTTGTATAAGGAACATAGCTTGAAGTGGCAACAGACACACCAAAGGGCACACATCCCCCCACTCCCCTGCCTAAGGGAGCCCCCGAGGCATGGGCAGGAGAGGGGCTTGCAGCCTGGGATGTCACACAGGGACATCAGCAGCAGGGCCGGGGCTGCCCTTGCTCACTACGCCCTAATGTTCTTGGTCTTGATGAAGTCTTTCCTTCCATCCCTGTTTTAGAGCAGCAGAACTCCAGAGCAGTCAAGGGCAGCATTCCGTCAGAAAACAAAAAGACAGAGCCTCAGAACCAGGAGAGACCTCAGGCAGACTAAGGGAAGGGAGAGGACATGACAGGTCGGAGCTGGGTAAAGCTTCAGGCCACTCACCCCTCCCCTACGAGAAAATTACGAGCTGCTTTTGTAGTTTGTTACCAAGAAACTAGTGTTCAGTGGACGGCAGGAATCGCCCGATTTTTCAGGTGGTTCTCAATCACCGGCAGCATCTGCAAGCACCTCTGCTGTGGTGACTGGAGGGTGTGTGGCTGGGAGACAGCGGGCAGAGGTCAGGGAGGCAGCTAAGCACCCCACTGCACGGCACGCACCCTCACAAGTCTACACGGTGCAAAATGACCACAGTGCTGAGGTGGAGAAGCCTGACCGCAGAGTACCTCACCAGGATCTTAAAACAGAGCAGTGCAGTCTGACATAATCTCCTTAAGTTAATTTTGACACAGCTGCCATCACGCTGACCCATGCGTATGTACGTAGCACAGTGCCCGGGCAATGACCCAGTGGCCACCCGTGTGGGAGCATGCTGCCTCAGCTATGTGTTGGCATGCTCCTGTGAGCTGCCCCATGGCCCTGCGGAGGTCTGGCCTCCACACCCTGTCTGCACTCACCACGTTGGTATGTGCAACACGGCAGCCTCAGGATGCAGAGAACCACAATCACAACCATAAAACACAAAGCAAAGGAAAAGCTGTCACCACCAAAGCCTGCGGCCTGGCCTCCGAAGAGTCCAGAGTCCAGAGCAGAGAGACACTTGAAACCCCGTGGGGTAACAGGAAGCTCTAAGCACAGGTTGGGGCCCCATGACACTGGTGGGAGGGAGAAAGGGGTGTGGCCTCTGAGGGGTGACCCAGAGGAGGCCGCAGTCTGCAGGTGCGTGCGTGAGGAAGCTGAGGCAGGGCTTGGGGTGGATGGAGTCTAGGCTATAAGAATGCTGTCTGGAGCAGGGCACAGGAGCACACACCTGTAATCCCAGTGCCTCCCGAGGCTGAGGCCGGAGGATCACAAGTTCAAAGCCGTCCTCAGCAACTTAGTGAGTCTCTAAGCAACTTAGCAAGACCCGGTCTCAAAATAAAATCTAAAAAGGGCTGGGGGTGTGGCTCTGTGGTTAAGTGCTCCTGGGTTCAATCCCTGGTACCAAAATGAATGAGTAAATAGAAGGCACGCCTGCATTTCTCAGCCCCCTCAGTTGGTAACGCCGACAGAGACAACCATAGGGGAAAACATTTTCTGGAGCAGAGTCCTGCTCCAGACTGGACTGGAGCAGACTCTCCAGGGCAGCTGGCCCTGCTCTGAGAGCATGGCCTGCATGCACTTGGCTGGTCCTCAGAGTGGGCCAGCTGCGGCAGCACCATCAGCCACGTCAGAGGCTCGGCTCAGCACGAGGCTGCATAGCTGGCGTCCTGCAGCTGGGACTTGAACTCAGTCTGGTTTCCAACCACTACCTGACTGCTCAGGGAGCAGAAGAGGTGAGAACTTCCAGGAGGGCTAGGCGCTAACAGGCTGGGCTGGGGTTCCTCTCACACACACAGTCCGCTGCGCTGCTGTGGCTCAGGTGCCGGAAGACCAGGCTCACCAAGCCCCGCCCAATAAGGACCTCACACCCAGATCTGTCCCCTCCTGAGCCCTCTCAATCTTCACCGGGGAGCAGAGTCCTCCTGGTGTTTCTGGGTCGAGTCCTGGGGCTGCCTCTCCCTTCCTGTGATCCTGACCAGTGGTCTCCTCCATCCTCTCCTGACCTCCTTTCCAACATCAGAGAGTCACCCAGGCTACAGGCCTCCAATGCTGCTCCCCAGGCTCCTCCAGGTGAGCACCTCCAAACAGTCCTGGCCTTGGGCAACAACTGGGTCACAGGAACTATCAAGGGCGAGTTCAGGAGCTAGGCTAACAGCCTCCAGCAGCTCTGACCCGCCCATCTGCTGCCCTGCAGAACAGGAGAGTTCTCTCCAGCATGTGAAAGGCCCAGAATCAGCTGACCAACCTGGCCCTGAAGGTATTGGGTTTCCTCCAGCTTTGAGCAACTAGCATGCCAAAACTCATGACTGCGAGAGAGATGTCACGGTAGTTAAGAGCACATGCCTGGGTCTTCGACTTTGAGTAACTCATTTAACTTCTCTGAGCCTCAGGTTTTAGAGTAGTGATCCTTTACTTATTAGGTCCTCTCACATGATGCAGATGATTGAGTAATCAACACGCAGAGCCCTCCATACATGTTTATTTTTGTTGTTTTTGATTGTAATGAAAGAAAAGAATGATGGGGGAGGACTATAGAGTACGTATTTTTAGGTGCTAGAAAACAGTTAAAGGTTATATACCAAAACTTTTGTTAGGTTGTGAAGGGCATTTACCATTTTACACACACTCAATTTTTAAAAGAACTTTTTACTATGACTGCCCTAAATCTATCATAAATTTTAAAAAATAAGAATAATAAAAACTGCAATGGGTACTTTTCACTTTTTCCTTTGAAAATGTCACTAGCAATTAACATCTTCTACTTGGAAAGAGAAGAGCCAACACCCCCAAACTGGAGGCGCCAGTGCCCTAAGGCACCACAAGGAGGGAGCTATATTTAGTCAAGGGGCTGGCCCTGGCCTTCGCAGTGAGTCAAAGCTGCAAGGCTGCCTGAGCTTGCGGCTGGTTTGGTCAGCATGACTTTTTGGAAAAAAAAAAAAAAAAAAGATAAGAAAACTGCTCTTTGTTTTTGTACATTTGATTGATGTGTGTCAAACTTTGCCTTGTCTCTGTTCTTGGAGTTGCCTGAAGAAAACACCCACATAACTAGATCACCAGATAAGACGCCCTGTCTTCTTTACCCAGGAAAAGGACGCAAATGCAAAACTTACTTTCTACTTTTTTTTTTTTTCTTTTAAATGAGTTTCAGAAAAGAAGCACAGAGCTGGGGGGAGGTCCACCTCAAGCCATCCCCAGGGAGGAGCCCACAGACCGCTGGGCTCCCACCCGTAGGCCTTCTGCTTCTGCGGGGTGACCACTCCGAGCCACACCGGGACACTGAACTCTCCCCTCCTCTGTGCTGTGCCTTTGCTCCTTGAGCTTCTCAGAAAATGCCATGTGTCCCTGGGACAGGATTCAAGTCTGATTCATCTTGCTGTGCTCCAGCTTGGTGTGGGGCCTGGTGCAGGGACGTAGCCAACTCACAGCGCGGCGCCAACTTAACACCCCATCCTGCTCACCCTTTCCCACACCCTCCAAGTGCGAATTGCTCACTTTCCTTCCAAAGCAGAGCTGTAGAAGTAGAGATGTCAGACACTTGTTTAAGGGCAAGTGAGTCCTTGCATTTTAAGTCTTGGGATGGCTTTTTCTTTAAAGATGTGTAGGAGATGATCACATGGAGAACACTGTCTCCCATCTGGCAAAGGTGGGAGAAGCATTTCTTAGAGGGCGAACTGCAAGGCAGTGTGGTTTCTAAAGAATGTGTGTGTGTGTGTGTGTCTGTGTGTGTGTGTATACCTGTGTGTGCGCCACCTTAATTAAACCAGGGCAGTTTTTCAACATCAGATACGCTGAGACCCCAGGAAAGGTGGCCAGGCAGGCAGGGAGAAACTGACAGGGGCCTGCCTGCTCCCAGAGCTGCCCCCACGGGGGGCGTGTGCCCTAGGAGACAGGCACCCTCTGCTCCCGGGTCAGCCTTGCCCTAGAGTCTGGCAGGCTTAGGGGACAAACCGGCGGGATGCCCCTTTAGGACACACTCTGGGTGTGTCCTCTCTGGGTGGTGCCCAGGCAGCCCCAGGACAAGGTTACACCACTTTCTTCTTATTTTTAAAAACCTGTACAAATATCTCCTCAGCTAGAGCTTGATCCCAGCACAGGGGGAGAAGAAATTTCCCTGCCCCCGGTGGGCAGCGGTGCCCTACCAGCCCCCGGGCCCCAGGCCTAGCCCTCCGGGGAAGGAGCCCAGGCCCCGGCAGGTGGCAGGGCCTCCAGAGAGCCAGTGTCTGCTCGGAAATGCCTCGCCTGGCCTCCAGCCTCTCCGCTGACCCGCAGGGAGGGCGCACCCGGTGGCTGAGGGCGGTGTCCCCTCGCAGCTGTGGACAGACCTGAGCCAGGACCCCAGGCCCTCCGGACTGGCCGGGAAGGCACACCCGGTGCTGAGGGCGGTGTCCCCTGGCAGCTGTGGACTGTCCTGCCCTGGCCTGGCCCCCCAGCCCTCCGGAGGCCTGCAGCGAGGGCAGGGCAGTGTCCGCAGCCCCGTGCCGCCCCGCCCGCCCGCCCGGCCACTCACCCCACGACGGAGACCATCAGGGCGGCCACCACCAGGTAGTTGGTCTGGTAGTAGAGCAGGTTGCTGACCACACGGTTGTTCCATTTCGAGATGTCCCTGAAGTCCGGGCGCGCGAAGCGGTCGGAGCCCGGGAAGAAGTCGTCCCAGGCGCGCAGCGGGGCGATGCTCACGTCCATGCTCGCGGCCGCCGCTCCTGCCTGCCCAGCGCGCGCCGGGCCGCGGTGACGCCGAGGTGACAGCCGCGTCGGCGCGTTGGGCTCTGCGGCTGGCGCGCGGCGGGCGGGGAGCTGGGCGGGCGGTGCGCGGGGGCCCTGCGCTCCCATTGGCTCCGCGCGGGGCTTCGGGCACGGCCGGGCGCAGGGCCGGCCGCGGGGCGCAGGGGGTGGCCGCGGCCTCCTCCGCCGCCCGCTCCGGGTCCAGCCCGCAAGGGCGGGTTTCAGAATTCGGGGTCACCGTCCCCGCGCCTCCGCAGGAGGGTCCCCAGCTGTCTCTGCTCCGCGGTGCGTCGCCGCAGGAGATCAGAGTGGCAACTCGGGAGGGAAACCCTGCACAGCACGAGCCCTGGGTTGGCTTTTCTCTCTCTTTGTCCTCCCTTCTCTTCACCCACGGCGGAATGACCGAACTGCTGTGCCATCTTAACCAAGTGATAAGCCACTCTGTTCGCTCCAGCTCCCCAGTATGTCGTTTACATCCTAACGTTAACAGCCTCTTTTCAGTTAAGGGGCCAAATACTACAATAAATATATTTTTCCTTTTCTTTCTTTTTTGCTACTGGAGATTTTAACCAGGGAGGAGTGTGCTTCAAGCCACATCCCCAGTCCTTTTTATTTTTTGAGACAGGGTCTTGCTAAGTTGCCCAGGATGGGTACCCTTGCAATCCTCCTGCCTCAGCCTCCTGTATCACCGGGATTACAGTGTGCACCACTGTGCCGGGCTTAGTGGATCTCTTATGTCAAGTACATGAAATAAAAGTACAATCATCTCTCAGCATCTAATTATTTTCTGGACCCCCCCCCCCCCGGCCATATTTAAATTGAAAGCTGCTGAAATTTTTGTATTTAAAAGAGCATAGTATTTACACATACTCCTATAGGCTTTAGATCATTTGTAGATCACTTATAATACTGAAAACAATAAAACTGAGCATGGTGGCACACACCTGTAATCCCAGCAACTTGGGAGGCTGAGGCAGGAGGATCACAAGTTCAAGGCCAGCCTCAGCAACTCAGTGAGGCCATAAGCAACCTGTAAGACCTTGTCTCAAAAAATAAATAAAATAAAAGGACTGGTGATATGGCTCAGTTGTAAAAAGCTCCTCTGGGTTCAATACCCAGTACTCAAAATGGAACAAAATAAAATAAAAATAAAAAGGCTTTATATTTTTACATTAATGCAATGCATTACATAAATAGTTGTTATACTGTATTGTTTAGAAGATAATAACACTAAAAATGTTCATACATGTTCACAACAGATAAAATTTTAAAATGTGTTTTCTATCTGTGGTTAGTTGAATCCACGGATAGGACGATGGGGGTAGGGTGGACTGTATTTTGATTAGTTTCATGGTGTGGTAGACAGAATTCTAAGATGATTGTGCCCAATACAACAGTCTCTAAACCTGACAGTCGAACTGTTTCAACACATTAAATCCACTCTACTCAGATTGCCAACTTTCAAAAAATTGAAAAGCAAAAAAAAAAAAAAGCAAAGTCTACAAGATATATATATATATATAATTGCCTTTGTTTTCTGAAAGCAGCTAAGGAACTTAGAGTGTAGGAAATCACTACTGCTACTGATGTTCAGGACTTTGGTAACTGAATCAAATCAGTGCTAAGAGACATCTTGGTGTTGCTTTTTAATAGCATTTAAAATGTGTTCATGTTATCATGTTCCTGAGTGTTCACGTTTTCTTGGATATGAGAAAATAAGAGAGTTTAAGTCAGAAGAAGCAAAATGATCATTCCAGATCCTCAGTCCCTGACAGGCAACCTTGGGGACTTCACTCAGTCTCCCCCCAGCCTCAGATTTTCACGTGTAAACTGGGCGAGAACATCTCTGTCACACAGGTGGGGCTGTTGGGGAAGTGCCTGGTGTAAAGTAGATGCTCAGAGGTAGACGCCACTCATTGGTAATGACATCGGGTCCGTGATTTATCTGGGTGGTATTCATAGTGCTTTAACCTGCTCTGTTTCCTGTGCGTTTTAATAAACATCCACATTGTCATTTTATTGGGGTTGCATCTGGGTGTACAGGGAGAAAAGGCGGAAGCTACGCAATACAGGGTCAACCCATCTTCGGCGTCTTCCAGGTTCTGTGAAAGCCCGGTGGGGGATAAGACAGGAGAGAGGTGCTGCCTTGCTTGGCCTCCAAGGACCCTGAAAGGTGCGGAAATACTCCTCTCTGTGGGACTGTGAGGAGGAGAGCTAAACAGAGATGTTCCAGGCCTCCTGCTCAGTTACAGGAAGTCAGAGGGAGGGGAGGGATCCCTGGGCTTAGGGATTCCAAGATGCCGCAGTGTGGGCAAGCTGAGGGAGAGATCTTGGCCAAGACCAGGGCAGCAGCCCCAGGGCTGGGGCTCTCGGATCTTACCAGCCCCACACCTGCAGCAGAGACCTGTGAGCCTGGGAGTGTGACAGGTGCTTTCACCCCTCGCTGCTCAAAACCGCATGACCAAAAGCTGCTGTGGAGTGTGCATTACTCACAGTGTGATTGATCCAGGGCCATTGGTATCCAGCAAACCATTGGTATTCAGCATGTTTTCTCTGATTTGCTTAAACCTGCGAAGAGGTTTAAAAGTAAGCAACAGAGAAGGCCCATAAAACTGTCTGCAGCAAGATTCCCTTCTGCCTCTCTCCCAGCGTTAACCAGTGTTAACCTCGCTTCTTGGCACTGGGGATTGATCCCAGGGGATTTAACCACTGAGCCACATCCCCAGCCCTTTTTTATTTTGAGATGAGACAGGTCTCACTAAGTTACTGAGGCTGGCTTTGAACTTGCCATCCTCCTGGATCACCTTCTGCAGTCTGTGCAATCACAGGCATGTGCCCACTAGGCCCAGCTTAGAACCCTTTTAAATAAAACGAACACATACTGAGTCTGTTTATCACTGTTTGGAAGTGACCAGTACTCCCCATTCTTTCTCTCTCTTTTTCAGGGGTGGGGGAGGCAGAAGTGGACAGATTTACCATAGAGGTCTTCCTGGGGCTTCTATGGGGGACATGGGCTTCTAGATAGAAGCAGCCTGTCTGTCTATAAACCTAGCGGATAGTCTAAAAGTTTATTGTATGTTCCTATCTCTGTTGCTGTCAAGGGCAGATGGCTGGTTCTAATCAGTCAGCTTGAGCCAGTGTGTGCCTGGTGTCCTCTATCAAAATGCCTCCGCTGTGAGTCAGGGTGTCAGTCCACGGCAGGCAGATGAAGGGCAGGTGCCTTTGCATCATCATGGCCCAGCTCCATACAATCCCTAGGCCTGTTTCTTCTTCTGTAAAATGATTATGAGAGGATATGGGATTCCTGAGGTTCCTGCCCATCGGACAGGGGTGTGTGTGATGCTCACTGCCACCAATCAAAGGGCATCCCCAAACCAGCTTTGTTACAGGCCTAGCCCACAGGAGCTCATTTTGACAAACAAATGGTTTACTCTCAGTGGTTTCCTTCTGTGGAATTGTCTGGGCAGGTAAAAGAGGTTTCTGAGTAGAGGTTGAGAGACATGATCCAGAGGGGGCTGGTGTCTCCTGGCATGCACCATGAGCTCTGTTCCTGCACCCACCACCTGGCATGGGCTGATCTCAGCTCAGTGAAATGCTCTTGGTGAACCCAATTGTGGTTCATAAAGGATAAGCCCTCCTTAAAGTGTGATGGAGAGTAGGACAAAGAGGAGATTAAATATCACATCCATTGGAACAGCTACCTTCACCAATAGGCTTTGCTTTACTCACACCAGTGGTTTTCAAAATTTACATCTGTACAATCATCCCACGCTTTGCAGGAGGCTGGAGCAAGGGCTGCAAATTTACATTTGTGACATATTTCCAAGAGGTGCTGATCAGGGACTATATTTCGAGAACCAATATGAATTTCATTCAGTTCTCAGTCTTATAAGGCATATGTTGTCATGCTCAATTCACAAATAAAGGAACAGAGGTGCCCAAGATTTCATTGTTAATAACTGAGGATTTAAGTTCAGTTTTTTTTTCTTCTGACTCTAAATATCATTTTTGTCCCACCCTTAAGTGCTGGGATTATGGGTGTTCTAAATCACGTTTCAATTTTTGTGTTTTCTGCTTGACACTTTTCATCTACGTATTATATATATCTTCCTAAGATACATTTATCACCTGTATGCCACAATTCTGGTACTGGACCGAATGATGCGACGCTGAAGTATTGATTTTCACAAAAATAGGAGCCCTGCCTCTGCAGGCTGCCATGCCCACAGAGGCCGACCGGACGCGCCCCATCCCGGGGTCGGGCAGTCGTTTCCGCGGTCGGGATCCACATCTTCGGCGGCTGCCGACGAACACGGTAACGCATAGACACACAACGTCCCACGTCCGCATCTTTTGCGGCACAACAACATTGCAGACGGCACAACCTTGCCGCCTCCTGCGGCCCTCCCTGCCTCGCCTGCCACCGGCCACGCCCTTGCTCCAGACCCCCCTCGCCCTCACCCCTCCCTCAGGTCCCGCCCCTTTCTCCCGCCCTATCCTCCTTTCCTTTCCTGTAGGCCACGCCCCTTTCTCAGACCCTTTTCTCCTTCTCTTCCTCTCTGGCCACGCCCTTCCTTTTCTACCCGTAGGCTCCGCCTCTTCCTCCAGCACGGCCCTCCCTTTCCTTCCTGTAGGCCACGCCCCATCCTGAGACCCAGTCGTCCTTCTCCTCCGTAGGCCCCGCCTTTTCTTTTAAGCATTTCCCCATTGGCCCTGCTCCTCTCTCGGTCCCCGCCCTTCCTATCCTCCAATAGGCTCCTCCCCATCCACGCCCCGCCCTCCTTTCCTTCCTGTTGGCCCCTTCCCTCCCTTGGGTCCCGCCCCTTCCTCCTCGCCGCGAGGGCCCCTGGGAAGCGGCGGGAGCAATATGGCGGATGGCGAAGAGCCGTAAGTACCGGGGTTGGCTGGCCTGCGCGCCGGGCTGGGCTGGCTGTGAGAGCGCGGCGGTGGGCGGTTGCCGCCGCCGCCGGGGTCCCCTCCCCCGCCCCGTCCCCTCGCCCCATCCCTTCGCGGCG